CTGGAAAAGGTGCGTTGCTCTGGGTCTTCCTGCCAATACGGCCAAGTTGAGAAAACAGGATTAAACAACGTCTATACAATGAAAGGAGACTGCGACCAAATAAAAGGTCACACCATCTTGGTCTTCATAGCTTCCATTTGTACTTTTCCATTTCACGCCGACTTTAATTATTATTTTCCTATTTTCAGTCCCTATTCTGTAATTCAGTTCTTTCCTTAATGAGGCACTTGGTTACACGACTTATTTGTCATAACTTAAAGCAGCCTTTGTTTCATTATATTAAATCAGCTTATTGTGTATTCTCGTAATTATTAGAATGACATCGAACAGGAACCGCCATCTGGAGACTTGGTTGTCTATTACGACAAGCAGTGGGCCTTTCGAGGACCCCAGTACGGCACCCTCCAAGTCTGGACATCTCCGCTGGCCACCTTTGGCATGGTCTGGCCTCGGCCCAATTTCTGGGCGACACGCTCTGCTGATAGCTTCTTTCCGTTTGCAACCAAACGACTCCGGTTTTTCGTCTTCCTTGCAGCTAAGCGTGTACCAGAGAATCCGTCAGACCAGTACGACGATATTTTGCAGGTATATCAATTTTCTACATAATTTCAGTTCTTGAGTTATCTCCTAGTCTGTTTATTTCTTCTAGGCTTGAAGTACTTACAAGATTCTTACTTAAAGATCTGCAATTTACTGGTAGCTATTGCCTCAATATTCACCATTTTTCAGTTAATTATTGTTTATCACTGTTCATCAAGTATCTATGAATGTATATATATATATATATATATAAATGTATGTATGTATATATCAGTCTGGAATTGCATTTTAAAACACGTAAGACAAACCATTTTTATCTAATTTGGTAGATCTTTTTAAGTCTTTAAATGGTTAACTTATAAAAAACAATCTAATGAAAAAAAGGTCTACATGAAGAATCTTTAATGTTTTACTTCAATGAAATCGCAAATTTATAAAAAAACAATCTTATCAATTTATATTCATGGCCTCCAAATGGAACTTTGCTTTTCAACTTCTTGAGACTAGCTTTGGAAAGTCTTACATTTGAATAAGAGGCACTCCTTTTCCCTCGTACAAACCACCGTTCAAACAAGGAATAAATTCCTATCATTTTGAAACTGAGGAATAGAAATAGTCTGTTATCAATTGCAGAAATA